TAGGTTTTGCTGCAATGGTTATATCCTTTGTTTCGGTTTTTGAATTTTGAATGTGTTAATAAGGTAATGCTAATTTTTTTTAAATGTATTTAAAATCCACCTTAGCAAGTTGATGGCATTGTTAAAAAAACTATTTCAGTGTACTTGTGTGAAAGAAGAAATAAAATATAAATTCATTTCATGGGTGTATAAATCATGTGTTTATAATATTAAATACATTTACTGTAGTTTAGTAATTATTTATTAAATTTTAAATTGGTCCATAATCGTCTTATCTTTTTGGCTACATTCACGGAATTGCTGTGTTATATATGTGTGCGATGTTATATTGCGTTCCTGGCGTTTGAGAATTTAAAGAGAAAAAAGGATTTTTTTTTTATTTTGGGAAAGTGTTTATTATGCTATGTCTATTGTTTAATATGGTTTATTGTTGATAATTTGTAAGAGTATTGTTATGAAGGGGGAGAAAAAAAAAAGAAAAATATAATATAAAATTAATGTCCGTATGGATTGATAAGTATGCTGTGTACGAAGCAACCCTATGTAGTAGGGCAGCATTACTTTTAATAAAGTATTTCTCTATAAATAATTAGGTATTAAAGTTAATTCCAAAATATTGTCATATAACTTTTTAGAAAACTAAATTAGTGAATAATTCGATAGATCTTCTCTTTGTGATATTCCACTACCATTTCATTGTACTTGTGTGAAAAAAGAAGTGAATTACAAAAATATTTCATAGATACGTTTATAACCCTAAATATATTTACTGTAGTTTAATAACTCTAGATCTCATAATATATTTAAATATTTAGATATCTATCGTCCGTTTATTCCGAAAAATCATCAGGTAATCTTTTAGAAAATTAAATTATTGAATAGTTTGATAATTTTTCTTTTTGCGATATTCCAACAGAATCCACTTACAATTAGTGTGACAACTTTTGACCTGTCTATTACAGACACTGCAAATCTCTTAATTCTGTTTTAATAAACTTTGCAATGGAAAATAACAGTTTAATGACTTATAGTCATACAATCCATAACCAATTGATCGAACAATCCATAACCAACGAATCGTACAATCCATAATCAACCGGTGATATAATAAATAGGACTTTTGTTATTTTAATAGCATTTGTGTTTTTTTTAGCTTTAGCTCAGTTTAAAATGCAATTCAAAACATTTTATAATAGCCTAACATGGCCAGAAAATAATTTTTATTCAAAGTTCAAAGAGTAAGTGAAAGTTGTGTGTTGCGCGCACCAGATTTTTTTCTTATAGGACTGCAGTAATTGTTTACCAACAAGATATCTTTATTGGTGACTTCATCATTTAAGAGTATTTCGCTGGAATTAAGAGAGAGGTATTTTTAAATTCCTATAAAATTATTAACATTTCAGACTTTTTTAAAATTTTATTTAAACTGTGGAATTCACAGCAAATATGCTGAATCAGAAGAAGGACAAAATAGAGAAATAGGTCAGCAGAAAACATTTTTACTCTCTAATACTCAACGAACTTTACAGATGACCTAGTCATTATATTAGTGTCGATGATGGAAGATTTTACGTACTGTTGTACGTGGAAGAGAAATACTTACAACAGTATGGTCATTCATGAGTAGGTTTGGAGAAGAAACAAATTTTTTAATTCTTACATAATATTATAGAATATATTATTTAATAAAAATTAAAAAAAGTTAAAAAGCCCCTCCAATGCTGATGACGTATAAGCCTTTCCCCACCGCCTAAGATATTTTATTCCTCTCTTCTTCATAAAAATAGTGCAAACCAAAGTAGAATTTTAATATTCATAGATTGTATACAATTACACATATGTCTGTTCTATGTTTCTACTTGTCTTTTAATTTGAATCTTTTGGATTTGAAATTTTGAAAAATTTTCAAAAAAAAAATTATCAAAAAGTACCCCCTCATAAATTTTGATGGCGCAACTTGCGCAATGAAATCCTCTTCTAGGTACCCCTGCTTACCTGTATATATGCAGTATATAGTAAGAGAAATTGTTACGATCATGAAAGTTTTCGAATCTGAGTATTGGAACTTCGTTATCATTGATTTTATAATTTTCTCAAAAATACCTCCAAACGATTTCGATTAAACTTAGTATATCCATGTATAATATAATTAAATAGCCTTTAACATCAGCTAGACCCCATTTTCATTGATGTCATTTAACAGGGTTTAATGTTTTTTTTTGTTTTTTTTTTATTTGGGTTTTATACAACTTAAGGAGTCATATCCCCAACACCCAAAAGCCACTGCTCCCTGTCCATCCAATCAATCTCCTTCGCGAAGCCCTCTGGCTGCCATGCTTTCCTCCACGTCCTCAGTTCAGGTGGCATATAGTTCTAAATTTTCTTTGGTCAGCGGTTCTCATCCATCCGCATTAAGTGGCCATACCACTTTAACCGTTTGGTCCCGATCAGGTGAAGGATGTTCTTTTGACATCCGACCTTGTCTCTAATAGCTGCGTTTGGGATCCGCTCGATTCTGGCTACCTCACTGCACGACGTCCGTCCTATTTCTCTTCCAACCTTTCAAAGCCGTTAGAACCCCTTGTCTAAAATCAACTCTCCAACTGACTAGAGAAACGTTCCCTTATCAACCAATTCCAATCTGGCATTCGATCTTTCTCAAAGCAATCCGCTTTCCTTAAAATAACCTATGATCTCCAAAACTCTATTGAACCCCAAAACCTTACTATCCTCATCCTTCTAGAATTTTCCAAAGCGTTTGACACAGTTGACCATAACATCCTCCTTACTAAATTGCACAATCTTCCTCTATGCAATAGTAACCTGCGTTGGTTGAAATCCCCTTTCAAATCGGTCCCTGTATGAAGTCGTCCAAGGTCAACCTCCATCTAAGACCCTCCTCCTCTCCTGTGGTATTCCCCAAGGATCCTCTCTATCTTCTACACTGTTTGCTATTTACATTAATGACCTTCCTCTCCTTACCCATCACTCCCAATTCCATATCTATGCAGATAATTTCCAAATATACCTGTCCTTCCCGCCTTCCAACCTACTATCAGCCACAACTTCAAGAAGACTTGGATAGGATTTGTGACTGGGTGAGAGCTATCAAGTTGAATTGAATGCAAAAAAGACGAAGGCAATCTTACTAGGCTCCAATCATTTCCTTAAGACTGTTCCTGATATTCCAACTCTGTTTCTACATGATGATCCCATCAAATTTGACCCCACTATCAAAAACCTTGGAATAACCTTAGATCAAACGCTTTCCTGGACACTATGTATCAAATATCTCCCGCCGTACCTTTATCACCTTAAAAGGTCTACATTACTTCCATCACTTATTTCCCCCTTGAAATCCGTAGGTCTTTACCTAGTCACTTCCTTAATATTTGCCCACTTTGACTATTGCTGTACAGTAAATGGGGGTGCCTCTAGGGATCTCGAGGCGAAACTAAAACGTGCGATAAATTGCTTTATACAATTCATCTTCGGGATTCCAAGGGACGCCTCTGTTACCCGTTTTTATGTAGAGTTGAAGTGGCTTTATCCTTCCTACCGTCGTAAGTATTTCCTGGTATCTTTACTCTTTCAAGTCAAACCAATCCCGCCGCCCTTCATATATTTCCGAGCTCCTTCAATTCAAATCCTCTGTTAGTTACCGCAATACTGGTTCCCAATCTTCAGATTTATACATAAGGGCCCACCGAACCGCTGTTTTTAACAGATCGTTCATTATCCGATCGTTATCCCAATGGAATTACATCGTTTCCAAAATCCGTAAATCCAATACCCTCCATATATTTGAATGCCGCCTGTTCAATTATTTATTATGTATGCAGTCCCCATAAAATTGTAAATAGATATTACTGTAAATTTGTATATAAATTATTAAATCGTTCTTTATTATTTTCACTTCATATTTTTTAATTTTTTATTGTTAAATGATTAAAGTTAGAAAGTAATTTATAATTTTTTTAGTTATATTTTTTATTATGACTGTTTAATTACTTTGTATTTTTGTTTATGTACCTCTGAGGCTTCTTATTCCACATTTCTATCTTCCAGTGTTATTCAAAAGGGACTCGTCCCAGAATAAATAAAGTATTATTGTTATTATTATTATTATTAAATATAAGAATAATTGAACAGTGTACACATATGTTTAGCCCTTACAGGCGCATTGCACAAATTGTTTTTTATCTAAAAATATAGTATTTACAAATTAGAATTGCTTAATTATATCTTGCAAATAAAATTATTTAAAAAAAAACATAATTATAATTGTCATCCACAATAATAATGGTTTTTGCATTTTATGTTTGTTAGTTTATCACCTCTATCCTTACAGGCGATTGCGTTTACAGGTCAGTTCTTGGTGAAATGTTCAGCTTTTTCGGCATTATTTATCCTATTTTGTCATTTGTTTATGAAGTTGGCTAGTTAATTTTCATTAGCTCATTTCGTTTTTGAAGTATTGTTTTAGTTTCTGGTCTACATAAATATCAACGGAAAACAACCTGCAAATGGGAGTTTTTAATTTGTATAGAGACGGAATAAAATAAAATCTTCTTGCCTCGAATATTTCTCCTTCGTTATTAATTTTTATCAAATTTTTTTATTACCTTTATAAAATTTAAGAAAGTTTTATTTATTCATTTTTCAAACTTTCAAGAGCTAAAAAATTTGGCTAAATATCTCAATAACCTGAAGTCAAATAATAACTATGATGTCAAAAGCTCAATGGAGGTGAAGCAAATGCTTAAAAGAATAAGTAAAATAGACAATAAGTAAATATTGTTTGATCTATTTCGATGTAGACAATTTATTTACCAATATCAACTTGAAAGATGTAATGAAAATAATTGAAAAACACTGGGATAAAATAGAATCACAAACCCAAATTAAAAATCTTAAATTGTATTTAGAGGGTTTCAAGATACGCAGTGAGAACAAGAAGGGAAATAGTGACAATTGTTAAATAGAAAGGTTAATAAAAGTACTGATTTCAATAAAACTTTATTATAAAATGCCATCAATAACAAACTGAGAGGTTGCAACAATCCATTAAATCTAGGTAGTATTGCCAATGAATATTCTAATACATATAATATCATTATATTTAATATCATTATCATTAATATTCTTAATAAAATATTATTAATTAAGAATATTACAACAATAAAGAAGGTACTAAAGAAATAGGGAAATGTACTTACTACCAAGATGTACTTCAACATCTTGGTAAATTGAAAGGGAAATTGGCATCTACGATTATTTAAACTCGGTTTAGTAGTCGGGTGCCTTTTACTACGTATTATGGCTCCAGATAGATAGATTTCGTCTCATGTACTAAACATCCAAATCTTGAACTTTGTTTCGGGGTGGTTGCCACCAAATTATTATTTCCTTAGGATACATAGAATCCCTCAATTTTTGTTGTCGGGTTTTCAGAAGTCAAAACTTCTATAGGCGCGTTTTCACTTTTTGTGGAGATCGAATTAGATTAAGCCGTCACATTTCTGATGTGTAACGCTCGAGTGAAGTGGGGTGGAATAGACTAATTGAAGTGTTTTTGCATATGAATTAAAATATTTCAGAAACTAAAAATCGGGCCTGCTTACTGCAAGCGAGGAAATTGTTCAACGTTTTATACTCTCTGTAATGCGCTATTATTCAAAATTTTATTTTAACGCGACGCCATGTTAGGGAGGGAAAAATGAAAAAAATAGTGTTGAAAACCAAATGATAACGAATTTTATGGAAGATATGGATTAAAATATCGCAGAAACTAAATTTCGGACCTGCATACTGTAAGCTAGGGAAATTGTCAGCATTTCATCCTCTTTATAATGAGCTATTGTTTGTTTATAATTTATATTTATATTAATTATTTCGCCTTGTTGGTTAATTTCACTTTTATCGTGTGGTCTAAAGCACACACCTTAATGTTTTTTTTGGTAAATATGGCAGTGTATATTTGGTCTTAAATCATTATTAATCTTTGCAATTTTATTTAATAAAATATTCGAGTCTAAATTCAGATTTTCCTAAACATGTATTTATATACTATTCAGTATTAATACTACGTAATTAAGGAGATCCAGAGAGCGTTTTCTTTTGTAACGGATTGAAATGTTACGGAATAGTAATTTTGGTTAAATAGTAAATTTCCTATCAATCTTTTACCCTACATATAGAGTTAGAAATATGTTATGGCTTCCGTAAACCTGCATGCGACAGATCCTACGTATGCTGAGAAAATAAATTAAATTCAAGTCTTGTTTTAATGAAACAACGTAGCAGTATGCTAGTTGGATGTAGGACTAAACACCTGAACAATTTCCTCTTCTGATCACCTCTTATATACTTTATTGCCATTTATATCATATTATGTTTGTCTATAAACATTATATAATAAAGTATATTATAAATAGTTCGGTAGAGCTAAACATAATCTGTGTAATGAACTTCACTAATTTTTTTTAATACAATTTTCAGAACACTGTGAAAACATAAGTACTAGAATATTGAATTAAAACTACGTCACATAGCTTTGTTTCGGTTTCGAAGTATCGTATTCTTCTGTTCCACTGTTTTAAGAAAAAGTCGTGTAAATATTTTTTATGTGTAAATATGTAAGTCTATAACACGAGGATTATAGACAGTTACAACAACCCCGCCTGTCGAACATAAAGCATCTTCTGTTGTTTAATGAAGGTACAAAGAAACACCTCGGGGGGCACACGAAGTTCGGTGGGTAGAAGTTGCCTCGGTAATATGGATCCATCCTGGAACTGGGATCAAACTGTTGGCCATAATCATCTGCAACATTAAAAAATATATATTACTTATAGGATTTTGTAAAACAAAAAAACCTAGTGCATTGCGCGCATCAAGCAACCTTATATAACATTTAATATAACGCTTAGTTACTAAGCAGAAAATCTAAACTTTCCATTGAAAACAAGCTACTGATCTACAAGACAATACTGAAACCTATTTGGACTTACGGACTAGAACTGCGAGGATCCATCCAATCCTTCCAGTCAAAAGTCCTTCGAACAATAGTCGATGCTCCTTTCTGTGTAACCAACAAAACCCTACATCATGACCTCAACATCCCATTTGTCCTAGACCTTATCCCAGAAAAATTCTCCAAATTTCACCAGTACCTTACGTATCACCCAAATCCTCTTGCACAATCCCTATCCAGCACCACCCATCCATATAATCCTCCAAGGAGGTTAAAACGGCTGTGGCCCCGCGACCTTTAATAGTTTTTAAATATAGGAGTTCTGGCAATGGCCAGATTCTCCACGGTAGGATGGATAGAACCACTTCAACTTGGTGTAATCATTGTAAAAATGATAATATAAAAGAAATGATATATAGGTGGAATATGGTCTTTAATTTAAAAACGCGAAAAAATTATATGATTAAATCTGATATTATTAGAATATTATAAACCAATGATAATAAATTACCTGGCAACATTCCACACATTTTCATGTGAGTTGAGCTATCTTTCTTAGTCTAATTAGCATTAGATATTTATAATAAAAAATTATATTCTTATTTGGGACAATCGAATAGAATGAAGTGGATAAATTATAAGATTTCTCTGTACGTTTTAGTTCTGATGACGTCAGAAAATTAAACTGAGATTTAAGAGGCTTATAAAAAACTACGGCTTGGAATCTTTAATTCATTACGAATTTGGTCAATATTTTTTAATAATCTCAAAATATTTGAAAATATTTTTTCTGATTATTATTCTTATGTATTGGATTATAAAAAAAAAAAAAAAGAAAACTGTACCACTACAACCTAAGAAGGGTCTTGGGTCAGCACTTTGTAAGGAAGTACTATTTCTTGGTCAATGGTTGTGCAAGGAGGTGATTTGACCGAGATCACGCTCAACCGTCAATTTCCCCCCTGATCAATTATTTAATTAAGAGTACCCACTTAAAAGAAGCTGCATTTAATCCAGGAGAAACCCAGAACAAATATTTTATCTGGCATAAGCATGATTTGAACTGGGATTTTGAGCATTTGAAGTCAGCGCCTTATTACTGAGCTACCCTACTTCCACTGTATTGATTTATATAATTTATATACAACTCAATAATATAGTTTTTTAAAGAATATTTATTTTCTCTTAAACTAATAATTATTTACTTACAACTGCCATCGTAACAGTCATTGCAACAGTTCTCTAAGATGGGACAGGCCCTGTTACAACCCGGGTATTCGGGGTAGCAGCGGTCCTGCCACTTTGGTGGTACTGTAACTCACACAACAATATAATTAGTATATAATGAGAAATTAACTATTTACATTAGTATAGAGGCTGGAGTAAGAATTAATGACTTCTGTAATATTATTTTTTTTCTAACGACAAATATAAATAACATAAAATATAAATACTGAATAGCATAAATATATTGAATAACTAAAATATCGAGAAAAAAAGAAGACTCTTTTATTGTGGTATTGATATAGTTTGTATTTAATTCTTTGTATTTTTTTTTATAGGATATTTTTTTTGTTTTACCTTCCTCATGGTGTAAATGTAATCTACTTCAAATTATTATTTATTTTACAAAAGTGGTGAATTGAAAGGATTTCCAATTAATGTTGTATTGATTTTTGTATATTTTCCTTTGAAATAATTGCCATTTGCGCTGTGTCGTAAGTCATCAGTGGAATGTCGAGATGGATTTTCTGTCCGTCACAGAACTTAAGTATAGTACCACCAGGGGTGTCCGTCCAAGGGCTATGGCGCAAGAACCTAACTCCCCTCCCCTCCCAAGGCATTTTATTGCTCATTTTTCTTAAAAACAGAGCAAAGGAAAGTAGGAGTAGAAAAATCGTAGATCATACACAATTATGCTTGCTGCTATCTGCTCCATGTTTTTCCCTTGTCTTTTAATTTGAAAATTTTCATTCTGAAAATTCATAGCAACGTTAATATGTGCCCTCCTTAAAAAATCAAAAACCCGTCGAAATATGTCCCCCTCAAAAATTTTGATGGCGCAACTTGCGTCATAAAACATCCTTTGGGCACCTCTGAGTACCACTCATGTACGTAATATTACATTACTTAACTGTGATCGGATTAGGCTTTGATTAATAAAAAATGTATGCAATTTCCTAAAAAGAGTTGTTTTTTTTTTTACCAAATTGGAAACTCTGTTGTGTATATATATATTTTCAGTAACTCACCACAGCAGTCTTCATAGTCCCTGCAACAAGCGCCGTCTGTGACACACTTATTGACTTCGCAAATATCTGAAAACATAAATACAAAAACAAATGAATATATAAGAATAAGACGATTCATTAACTTAAATTATTTTAAAATAAAATCCATGGTACAAATATTAAATAATATATATTTTTTTTTTTGCACATACACATATTTATCCACACCTGTCAATTATAACTATTGACAATCAGCAGATGTGCTGGCACAGTCATGAGAAAATAATAAAAAAATAAAAAAAATAAAAAATGAAATAAAAAGGCTAATATTATTTGATTCAAATTATAATTGCTAATATATTAAAATGCTCTTGGTAAACACTCTCTGTAAGGGATGTATTAAATTATTTAAAGAGCCGATTTTTTTTTTGTTTGAATTAATATAAAATGCAAAAATATTAATAACTAATGCATATTAAGTAATGGATGATTTTATTTGAAATTATCTGGTACATTACAAGTTGTGTAAAGAAATTATGTGATTTTCTATCTAGTCACCTAAAAGTATCCGTGTTTTCTGCAAAAATGACTACAATTAACTATAGAAAAAAATGTATTACCTATCCTTCCATACTAAACTTCAGAATCTTCCTAATCCTCTCGTTTCTAACCTTGATTCCTCCTCGATCCCTGATAATCCCCTGTGACGTCCGAAAAGAATATGGCCTCGTGATCTTCTAATTTAGATACTTTATTAGAGTGCTACAAATGCATAGATTCTCTAAAAGTCTTTTCATGCCATGTATTTCTCTGTATCACATTTACTGAATGTATATTCATTTGTATACAGTTGTAAAATTCGTAATAATAAAACAAAAAAAAGAACTATTTATATAAAATTAAATTTTAACTGGTTAAAAAGAAGAATAAATCTTTTATAAGTAATCGTGTTTTGTAAAATATCGTGATTGGATTCAGCAAGAGTTGCCGTTTTAAGCCTCTGGAATGATATTGCTGACTCGGTTTTGTTACAGTAATGTTATGTAACAAATTATAACGATATTTTATGTAATTGAAAACAGTCGTTTTGAGTAACTAATAACCGACTGTTTTTTTTTTCCTAATTGTGCCTCAGACAAGCAAATTATTTTCTATTGTTATTGATAAATTATTCATAATAATTGGATATTATCTTTATCCAATTATTATGAATAATTTATCAATAACAATAGAAAATAATTAAGGCAGGATAAAGGCCTATATTTTGTTAGGATAATTTAATTTTAAAGTTAATAATATTTAACATAAACATTAAAGTAACAAAATCTGTTAAAGTAATAGCTTAAGTAGGAGATTTTTTTTTTTTTTTTTTTTTTTTTTTTTTTCTTACCCTCCAAAAAGTTTATTGAAACAATTACATATATAGTATACAATAATACAATATAAACATGTAATAAATTCCTTCCACTGCCCGAGGGCATTTTAAGGATTGGGGATAGCTAAAGGTTACATATGTGGCAGAAGGCCTTGTGACTTTGACATTGAACGGGGAAGGACCGTTCTGCTAATGTTTTATTATTTACAATATATACAAATTAATGAGTTTGGACCGCAGAGACCAGACCACATCCTTCGGCGAGTATGTCCACCAAAGGGAGTTTACCTTGCGATTTGTAATTTATTCTTTGTAATACATTTTATACTCTATGAGAGGTACAGATTTAAAGTTGAATGATTATTCACTTCTGTGCATTATATTCCTTAAATTTTTAAATGATAATAACTACAACGGAATAATCATTAGTTGAGTTAGTTTACTCACCATTACCGTCAAAACATCCAGAAGAAGATTTGGTAGTAGGAGTGCAACAGCAGTCATCGTCTGTAATTAGAAAAAAATTAAATGAAAATAAGAAGGAACATAAATAATAAATAGATTAATAAATACTAGTGTCCGCCCAGTGGTCTAAATTAGAACATGATTTATGAACATTAGAGGAAAAAAAAATTTGCATGTTTCAATTTTTTTTCTACTATTATATATTCGTACATCCACTTATTTATAAAAGAAAACAGGCCAGCACCAATTGTTTATTTTTTGTATTATAAGAAAATAAAAATGTGAATTCATCATAAATTTTTTCAAAAAATATTTGAACCCACTACCCTCAATCAGTGAAAACTTGAGCCATTTTGTGATTGCAAAGAAAATTTCTATTTGAGGGTTTTTCCAGATGCAAAATACCAGACTCAATTTTTATATTCCTTCAAAAAATATTTGAAACCATTGTGCTCCTTCAGTCGGTATAAATTGTTTCATTCCAATATTGCACTTATATTATAACTATATTTTAAACATAAATAAGGCACAATCGAGCTGTCCTTAAAAATATAAACCGAAGAAAATATAAAAAAAGAAAAAATGAAATAAAATATCTTATCGAACATGATTATTTTTTGTTTTCATTTAGTAGGAAATTTAGAAAGCTTTCAAATGCCCATAAGTTTAAAACCCAATTGTCCGATCTCGGTGATTTTGTTGTTTTTTTTTTAAGGAAATTTAAGAAGATTTAACATATACTCCATAAGAAAGTGTTCTTTTTGAGTTATTCGCAAATAAAATTCTGAATTCATCATAATGATTTATTATAGATTAAGGCTTGTTTTTCGGAACGTATGTTATATATATAAAATATAAAGGCTTCAAAAGGAATATTTCAGCTTAGTTTCATTAAAATCGTAACTGCCGTTTTGACCCTACAATCAAAAGCGAATTACTTTTTTCGGGCGCTATTTCGAAATATTACTATGTCACATTAATCTTCGTTTGATGTTTAAAACAACAAAAATATTTTATTCAGTGATATGGCTCGTACGAATGACATAAATATACAAATATTACTAGATTTTAGTTTTTGTCCTTTGCCACTTGGCTGTTGAAATTTTAAAAACCTAGATAAATATAATCATGAATAAGAAGATGACCAACAGAACAAAAAATATATATTATAAATTTATTAATAGTGATCAGTAAGACCTGGGATTGATACGCAAATGCATATTTTGTTTGACTTTTTTTTTTCATAAAACATTAGTCGATATCTTTATGAAACAAATCATTTTCAATCTTATGGCAAATTTTGATGTATATTTTCAGAAAATTATATAAACTATAATAAACTCCTCTTATAAGAAACCGCATAAATAAATTGGCTATGAGGAGTTAAAATAAAGATTTTAAAAAACCAGTACCACTACAACCCATGAAGGGTCTTGGGTTCAGTATTATTTAGGGAAAGCACTGATTCTTGGTCTACGGTTGTGCAAGGAGGTTATTTGACCGAGATTAATATGTTTTTTAATATAAGAAGAAAACGGATAAATAGAAAACTTTTGGTAGAAAAATAATCATTAGTAACTATAAAACCGATGTAATTGTTTATATTTTCCTCCTATAATGCTATGAAAAGCTAAAACGTTGGAGTTGAAAATAAATAAAGATTCAGGGATCAAATTGAAATGTATGATTTTAAATAAGACTCAAGCTTTAAACAGTTATATTTTAAAAAATATATATCGGTATCAATTTATATTTAAAACGTACAAGTCTGTCCTTTTAGGCGGAGAAAGGAGAAAAAGATTTTAAACTTCCGTGAAGCTGAATTTGAAAAACATGTCTATACAATCAAAACATTTTTTGACCAAGTACATTTAATTAAAAATAATAATTTCAATACCATTTTTTTCTATACTTATATAATAGTATATAATAGAGTGCTGTATGAAAAACACAAAAGTAAAACTAGGTAGTTAATATTAAATAAATATTATATTATGATATAGAAACAATATTATATGAATGTAGAGAAATGTGGCCTTCATTGGATTCTTAAAAAAAAAAATGGCAAAAGAATATTTTGCATTACTATACCATACAATATACTACGAATAAAAAAAAGGCAAATATACATTAATACTACAAAATTAAACTTAGGTAGGACACATACCACAGCAATTATTATCACACTTGCTTCCACAGGTTTTGCTGCATCGCCTGGCGTCGCATGCCTCGGTTCTCGAGCAACAATCCAACTTATCTATGAAATTCCGGAGGAAAACAAAATGAATATTTATATAAATGTGAAAACAATAACTTTTTCAATATTTATAGATATATAATTTCTGAAGTTTTTTTTTCAGATTTAGAAGCTGAAATAGATTTAAATAGAATTTCGTTTTTCCAAAAAAAAAAAATCTCCCTTGCAAAAATTATATAAAAAACTAGGCATATCGATTGATTTAAACTTAGATTCTCCAAAAAAAATTTAAAACTTCTAAAACCACAATTACAAGTACCTTCATTAACAATATAAGGCTGCCTGAGCCCAGTACTTTTTTTTTTTTTAATAAGTTTTTACGTTACAGAGCATTTGTTTTTTCATGATCATAGACGTAAAAATTGAGAACGAATTTAGCATAGTAATTATCCCCAAACTTTACAATTATTTCGAAAAAAAATCAAATTCCACAATTATTTTTAAAAAAAGATGACTGTCAGTTAGGATCAATATTTTTTTATAGGATTAACATTATTATTTTTTTTATGTATTTTTTTTAATTATTTTTTTTTTATGATGCTCTGCATACAATAAGCAAAGTTTATTGAGATAAAAACACACTTGGCTTGAATAAAAACTGACCAAAAAAAAAAACTGCACACAATTTTACATTATTTAACATAAACTATATTCTGTTTTAAATGTATTTAGTTTTTATATTATTATTATTATTATTGACTTTATTTATATACTAATTTTATTAACATTATTATTTTTTTATGTAATTTTATTAAATTATTTTTTTGTATGATGCCCTGCAATTCAGAATTTAGACCGCTTTATATAAATTAAATTTGAAAATGTCTTTCCAACATTTTTTTGAAATTATGTCCCCTTAAATTATTCCCAATTAAATAGTTAAGTTTAAAATTAATACTCGTCGTAAACCAACTTCCTGTCCTACAGTTTCCTCCACTTATCCCTGTTGAGCAAATCCGATACCTAGGACTCCACCTGGACAAACGACTAATTTGGAATCCTCATACTAGACTGAAACGACAAGAAACCGCTCGACCTTTCCGATTACTTCAGCACTTACTAGACAATCGCTCTAAACTTCCCATTAATTGCAAAAGACTCATATACTTGACTATAATAAGACCTATTTGGACTTACGGAGTTGAGCTATTGGGCTCCACTAAACCATCGAATTCCTCTCGCATCCAATCCTTACAATCCATAATCCTCAATGCTCCTTACTTTGTCACTAATAAAATTATCCATAAAGACCTTAATGTTCCTTATGTTTCAGATCTGGCCCAATCCAGATACCTATCCTTCCATAATAAACTTCAGAATCATCCCAACCCTCTCGTTTCTAACCTTGCTTCCTCTTCAATTCCTGATAACCGTCCGAGGCGTCTGAAAAAAAGATGGCCCCGTGATCTCCTAATGTAGTCGTATCATTAGAGTGCTACCATTGGGTAGTTACTCAGCAAGTGTATTCATGTCATTATATCAATTATGTCCAAATTTACATGATGTATTTACGTAATACAGTTGTAAGTGTCATAAAGAAATAAAAAAAAAAATAATACTCAAAGGTCGATTAAGGAAAAGTTGTAAATATATATATATATATATATATATATGTATATATATATACATACATACATACATACATACATACATACATACATACATATACAATATAGATATATAAACATTATCGGATTGAAAATACCATTAGTACCAATTAATTTTTATATGTAATATTTATAATTCATTGCCATATTTGTTTTATTTCTCGCACTGCTATCTTTGTCCCAAATACATAATAGTTTTATTTTAAGTTTTCTTCATAATAATTCAAATTATGAACTATTCTAGCGAAATAATTTTAAATTTATTCGCCTTGGCGCAATCGTATTAGTTTTATTGAGAACAGGTAATGCGAGATAGTGAGGCCGTCTTGTTCTGGTCAACTTCAATTTCATGTAAAAATTTCCTTTAAAATATTGTTCTTTTCTTGATGGGATTATATCCATCATGATTAATAAGAAGTGGATTAGTGTCTTAAATTTTTCAGCTTCCAGGATAGCAGAAACTGGTAATTTTGTGTCAGATATTTAATCTTAGTTTTATTCCCCTTTTAATATCATTTTCTTAAAGATCATTTGACCACATAAATCTGGAATTTCCAACTACGTTAGTTGAAACACGCTTATCCAGACCTGCTTTCCCCGTATTGTATATACGTATATATAAATAAAAACATATAGGCTGAATTACTCTTGTCGAAATACTTTGATAGTCTAACACATATGATTTCAGTTTATATTAAAATAGGTTTCTTCCTTTGAAAATAGCCTAAGGGTTGTAGAACCGTTGAATGTTGAGTAAACATACTGTACGACTATTGTGATGTGTGTCCTACCTCCTAAGTCCTAACCAATAATACATATATATCTATTTCAAATTATATATACATTATTTGAAACTTTTAATATAATCCAATCAGTATAATATTTTTTGCAAGAAAGAAAAAATTTATGATTGTCACATTCTTCAAAGGTAATTTTGCTAAGTAATTAAATACAAGTTTTAAATTCTTAAAGTGTTAAGGTAAAATATGAAATATAAATTATTGCTAATGGTCTATTTGGGGTAAATTGGAAAATCCAATCAAAAATAATAATATATTTCCTCTATTTTCTAATAATTAAAAAGCTCATTTACAAACACACTTAGTAATGAAATTCAATTTCATACCGCTAGCATGTTCAGAGCATGAATCCCGTGTAGTGCATTTTTCACTGCAGTCATTGCAGCAGCCATTGCAGCAGTCATTGCAGCCGTCATTGTAGCAATCATCGCAGTAGTCATTACAGCTGTTTTGACAGCAGTCCTCACACTTAGACGACTCACAGCAGTCCTGATAATTGGGCTCACAGAATGTCTGGCAGCAGTCATTGAACTCGCAACTCGGTGAGGGGACAGATATAACTTTGACGATTCGTGGAGCACAAACTCTTGCTGAAGCAGCAGAGATTATGGCCAACAACGTCACCACCACACGTCTGAAATCATTCATTTAATTTTTTCTAAACACTAACATTATTTATAATATTTGAATGAGTAAATATTAGAATACATTTATTTATGAAAATGTTGTTGTGTGTGTGTGTGTGTGTTTATCGCTGTGTATCAAGGGATGCTAATGTGTAAATTGAAAGTTATTTCATAAAATCGAAGTATATTAAATGGATATGACAAAAAGAAGAGTTAGTCAAGGGCGGAATTATTTTAATAATTGCCGAAACAGATAGCCTGGAAGCATGGTGACAACATCTTAGTATCTGTTCTTATCTACAGGGTCGCTCTGCGCAGATAAAGGTTTTAGCCATCAATCCGCATAGGGTTTAATAAAGATAAAATATGGACTTCTTGAAGATTCGAAAGAAAGTCGTCGCTCTTCAACAATCTAATAAAAACCTCAACAGAAAAGTATAGGGGTATTTTTGCCCTCATTGAGTTTAATATATATCGCTAAAAATCTTATTCCTATTAGCTAGCTGTCTGAGCTGTCCAAGAAAGTCGTTGTAAAGAATTTAAAAAGTATCGACAGGATTTTTCGAAAAAAAAATTCTAGAACTCAAACGAAGATATCTTACATAATTTATTAATATCATCTGATCCTCCGGTCTCATATATTAGTCCATTGCTACTAAAAAAAAAGTTATTCAAAAGAAGTATTGAAATTTATTGATACTCCGGAGACCAAAAATACAGTAATACAGCTACAAGCATTAATGAGGATGAAATGAATTTGACATATTTATTAAGATATCAATTTAATTTCTTTTCTAATTAAGTAGGTATAATTTAGATAACAGACGGGTTTAATAACAATTGATCTTATCCGCAGATGTCAAAAGTGTGAGCAGTCATTAAGTATAAAAAATATTTTGGAAGAGTGCCCTTTTTACACCGCAAGGTCAAAAGATCTCGGAATACCCCAGAATATATCAGCATCTCTAGGAAATCAAGAAGAAATCCTTACAAGAGTTTTGAAGTTCCTATACAATGAAAACATTATAAAACATATATGACGAGTTTATAACTAATGATCCTTTGCAGATTTTTTTTATTTTAAAAGTTCATTTATTTATTAATTTCAATTCATTCATTGATTTTGTTGCTATTTTTTTTAGTTTATTTATTTATCTACTCTATATTATTATCTATATGTGTCTATTATTATTTTTATTTATTTAATTTATTCTATTAATTCTTTAATTTATTTTTTTATTCCTTTTTTTATCATTATTTAATTCTTATTTTATTTTTATTTTTTGTACCAACCATCTAAACAATATCAAGTGATGTTATTTAGTTGATCGGGCGCTGATGACCTGGATGTTTTGCGCCTCGACATCGAAACAAACAAGGGACAGGCGGGTTTTCGTGGACATGGGCCTAGAACTCGTAAATGATATTGAATTAACTTTATAATTAATACACTGATTTTTTAAGGCCAAGGAACTCGAATACGAAGTCAGAATTTGAAAATGTTGGTGAAAAACAAAAATAATCCCTCTTTCTTTGTTTAAATCAAGGAACTTTTAAATTTTACAATAAATTAACCTCAAAAATCATAGAGACCTCATAAAACGCATAATTTTAGACTTATTAACTTTTTATAACTACTGCCTATATTAATACATACAACCGTTTTTTTTTGTTTTTTTTTATAAATAATAGGAGATATTAGTACATGTACATACCTAGAGATTGATCGAACACTTTTACATACAAAAATAATTTTAAATATCTTTTAACTACCTGGTGCAGACCATGGCGATTTGAATTAATATGAATTTATGTTTAACAATGACTGCTAAAAAGTTGTTACAAATAATTTTCCGGAGGATATCAGAAGTTTTTTAAATCGCAGTATTTGTAAAAAATTTGATTTAAAAACACCTATTTTTGTTAACAAAAAAGATATAAAAGATTCGAAGTAAAAAAAATTGCTGAATGATTATAGTTTTTTTTATTAAGCAGAATGACAGTAACAAGTTTATGAAGTTTCAAGAAAAAATTATTAACCAATAGCATGAACCAAGCAATTTTACAAAACCTACGAATCACGCGAATTTCCACTAATTGACTAGATTTTTAATTGAACTATTTATTAAAGCAGTATATAATGTTCATTCTGCCAACTTTTTTAGTTAATATTCTCACAAACTGCCTAAGGTATCAATTAAACAGTTTATATAGTTTTCAGAGTCATATTAAATATATAATTTGTAAATTTTTAAACAGAACGATTGCTTTCTAGAATCTATAGAAATAGAAGTATTTAGCTGATTAAATACAATGACCAACCTGCGTACTTGAGTCATGAATCGCGATGTGGTTAACCATCTATAAACCCTTTAATTTAACCTTTAAGTTATCTAAATATTCATCATCTATCTAATGAGATATTGGATTGTATCGTGCTTATATATATATATTGGATATAGGTTGTTAAAAAATGATATATGTATTGATATATATGTATGTGTTGTAGATCAGTGGTTTCCAAACTACACCCCGTAATCACCGGTCCGCGTAATTTTTTTGAATAGACAGAAAATAAAAAAAAATATTTAAAAATATGCAATTTATAGAATCATGAGTCGTTTACGGTAAGCACTACTTTGATTTTTTTTTCCAACGAATGAAAACTGTATCTATCTGAATTCTTTTAGAATTTCATATAATTCTCTCTCAAGGAAATTCTAGATGCCTTATGTAATCTAGGTAAAATTTTAATCATAATAATAAATTTTAAGTAATTGGAAACATGTAATTATTATAAAGTTTTACTTGTTTTATCAAGCAATAAAAAACAAAATATTGGAAGATTTTTTTCGGATAGTATAAAGTATAGAATAGTTTTTCTTCAAGAAAATGATTTATCTTTATAAATTATATGAATATAAGAAAAATATTTAAAAATAAAAGGACTAATATATATTTTTATACATTTTATCAAGTAATAGAACATGAAAATGTCGGAAGATGTTTTGTACAGTGTATTTAATTTTGGCCTACATTTTATGTTTACGCATAAGAAAGAGAATCAGAATGATTACGTTGTTGTTTTACAATAAAAATAATTAAATAAAACACGTCATAATCCATGGGGCATGTTCATCTCATTGCAAAAATAGGCTTTTCCTAGTCTTTCTGAAAATGACAAATTACCATCTTTTACATGAAGTCACTGACTTGTATCAGTGAAATTCATAAAACATGTGCTTATTTAATAAAAGGTGTAGACAATTTATTTTGAGTTGGTTTGTTATTATTTTTGGTGTGGATATAGAAAATGAATTACAACTGGTCAGTAAATCTTTGTTGTTGTTTTTGTTTTCAATTTCATAACAATCATATAAGGTCTGAGAAAACATCACATCAGATAAATAAATAAATTGTATTTAAATTGTTTGTGGATTTTTATTAATGAATTAAGAGTGCACTTCAATGTACGAAAGGCTTATCTGGTGGGCATGGTACATTTTTTTTTACAGAATAAAAAATATGATAAACAGTTAAATCATTTATAAACAAAAAAATGAAATTAAAAATAATGAATTGATAGATTTGTTAGTTTATTATATAGCTCTCTACATTGTGTTAAAAAATATTAAGTTGAAAAACAATTATATTTGCATAAACTATGAAACCGATGCAAAAGTACTTTTTTACTTTTGGGCTACGAAAATTAGAAATAAAATATTTATACTTAATTTCTCAGAACTTATTCATGAGAAACTCTGTCTTCTAACACAATTCCAAATTGATAGATCATACAACGAAATTCCGTATTTATTGCCGTAAAGGTTGAATTCCTTTTCTGCCAAAAAGAGGCTTGCTCGATAGGCTGGTGTTAACTCACTCTTAGGAGTTTTAAGAGGATGCTACATTAATATATTACTTACCCTTCCATGGTTAAGGATGTTTGAGAACTAAGTGGTTGTTAGGAAGTGAGAATCTTTATATAGATGAGAGCCATTGATAGGAATACAAGTTTCTGGTGATATACCACATCTGCGATAGTCCACTTCCATCATCCGTTGTGGAACAATTCCACAGACCTCTACACCCTCATTTGGCATTATCTCTTGCATTTGAAGTCTCAGATAGTTGAAGAACTACAATAGTCCGGAGCCAAGGATTATGTATTAAACTATTTTATTTACAATTCCAGAACCTAATCAAATCATTAAGAAATTTTCAAACAATCCATGAAATTTACAGTAACGTTTTCAAAGATTACGGCACGTTGTCCCACTTTTCAATATCAGGCATTGAAGTGCTAAAAATGATTGGTTTAATTCGTGCCACATTGCACTTATTCATGTTGTTTATATATTTACTCTATTCGTACTGTTAACTCTGGTATTAAACCCCGGAGAAACTGCGTATAGCCTAAAAGGCGAGAAAAAAAGAAAAAAAAAACGTTCATAATTATTCTGTATTAATACAGTAGCAAAAACAAAATTTTATTTATAAACAAAAAATAAGTGAGTGGCATAAATGAATTTAGTTATTTATTTGATTCCTTGCTAAATATCCATTAGAACAGAGTGAAAAACAAAATAAAATAAAAATTAACGCGAAGTTATTTACATTGGTATAGCTCAAAAATGACCAAAACAAAAATTTTTTGTGAGTGTATTTCTTATCTCTGTTACTTTAATGTGAATAAAATAGAAAAAATAAAATCTGCGAAATAATTTGGGTACTAATATGTTTTATGTATTATTTCTCTAAGGTGCTTATTGTTGGTATGCGTCATATCCTTTTTAATTCTTCATCAATTCCAATAATTGAGCCATCATTTTTCTATTTCAGGTGCGAAAAATAAGCACATCCCGCTGCAAACTCAGGAAAAAAGATTATGATGAAGAAAAGAGAACTAACTCAAAATTATACCATTTATGCTCAATTATACCACCACAACCCATGAAGGGTCTTGGGTTCAGTACTACTTAGGGAAAGTACTGTTTCAAAGCCAACAGTTGTGCAAGGAGGGGACCGGGCCAGAATCACGCTCAACTGCCAGGTTTTCACCCTTAATCAATTATTTAATTGAGGTACCCCCATTGTAGAGTCATTGAAGAACACAAAAGAATTCAATTGAAATGAGACGGTGTTCAAATTCAAATGATACGGTGTAGGGTCAAATGAGACTCTATTGGCTAGAGCCCCATGCTCGATTATATCCACGATAATTTGAAATATTCCAATTTTTATACAAAACGAAAATAACTCATCCTACTTTGGCTATACTTATTATGAAAGTTACACCCTGTGGTAACTTAGGCTCCTGTTTTGGTTTATTATTTTGAATGAACTTTTGTAATCGACCGAAAAATAGAAAATTAATTTATAGCTCATGAAGTATTGGCCGGTGGAAAAGGTGATATATTTCATTGTACCTTTGTTTAATTATAAAGATATATTATAGATGGGTTAACAATAGTGTTTATAACCTTAATTACATTTACCAAAGGTGAATAATTTTAGATCCGATAATATATTTTAATAATTAAGTATATATTGTCGATATATTATAAAAATCATTAAGCATTTTTATAATATTTAAAAAAAATAATTCCTTGAATAATTTAATGATTTTTCTCTCTGTGAAGTCACATTATCCCCTTACAATTAGTGTGACGACTTATTACCTATCAATATTGTATTGCACAGCTCATAACGATATTTTGGTAAATTTTCCAAAGAAAAAAAAACGCTGCAAATTATTACACATTATTATTTCCAAACAATTTAACATCAACGTTAACATTACTTTCCATGTAATATTAAGGAAAATAAATAAAAACGGATTCCTAACATTGGACTATATAATTTTCTTTTTTACCATTGATATCTTGTTTTAAAAACTAGAAATCGTTACAGCTGGCGTAAAACTTAAAAAAAAAAAAAAAAAAAAAAACTTCTTTGCAGTAGAACATATAAAACATATTCAGAACATCTTCTTTGCTCCAAATCGTCCGATTTCAACGATTTTTTTATTTTTATTTATAGTAAGATACGTTAAATTTTAAACAACCATACATACATCAACAAAAAAAGTGTATACTTTTTGAATTATTCAGAAATTTAATTTTACCAACCTTTCTTCCACCGTAACTTTTTTTCCAGCATCTTTTCGTTGAAGTATGTTATATAGATAAATGTAAAGGTCATCGATGGGAATACTTTAGCCTAGCATTATTGAAATTGGTACATGCGTTTAGGCGCTACAGTCTATATGAACACAGGTTTTTCGGCCGCCATCTTGGAAGGAAAGGGCGAATAATAATGTCGAGGTAGGAGGATCATTCTCGGGGGACCTCTGACTTTGATTCCAAATTTGAAAAAAAAATAGTGCGGTAGACTCGGAGAAAAGCCGCGGACAGAAAACTTTTATTCGATTTTCGAATTTTACGTATCTTGAAACGTAAAACCTCAAATTTTGAGGGGAGGTTAAATTTTTGTCGATTAAAATGGTTCATTATTAAAAATAATAATCCAATAAGAGATTAAATTCATCAAAAGAGTGATTGAGATTTAATTCCTTCATTTTTGTTTACTATGTAGTACTATCCTTAGCATATTCATAGGTTAAATATATTATAGTTATTATCTTCTTTTTTCTTTTTTTCTGGGAAGTTGTCAATTTATTTTAGTTGTTTGGCAATAATAACTTCCAGATGTTAACATCTGGAAGTTATTATTGCCAAACAACTAAAATAGTTATTATCATAAATCTTTCAACTTTAATAGTAGGAGCGAGTGAATGAATTTTCATGTTCCTCATTGATCTGAACAGGAAATATTGCATTTAAAGATTTAAGTCTTGTTAGCGAACATCAGTGAAAATAAGACCAAGATTGAATCACTATTGGGAATTCAACCAATACTTCAGTTAATCGTTTGACATCAACTAAAGTTATAATTAAATTCTTTGATACTAAAAAAATATTTAGGATAGAAAATCATATCATTTTTTTACACAACTTGAGGTTAATCTCAAAATTATTCCCAATAAACCTCAAATTAATTAACATAGACTTAAAGCTTATCAAACATGGAAGTTTTTATAAAAGTTAGATAACTGTAGCACAGTTGAAGAGTGATAAAAATAATTTATAATTTTTTTTTAACGACCATTTAAAGATAAAGATCATTTAATTTTAAATCGAGTTTAATCAGATCGTTAGAGCCTTTTTCGATAAAATCCTAAAAATGTGTAAAAACAATAACATAAAGTGTCTCTTCCGGTAAGCCAAATTTGACGAAAAAGTGTCAGTAACATCCCAATCATATATAAACCTTATATATTCAATTTAAGTTTCGTACAACTATTTGTTTTTGAATTAGGCTCTTCACATACTTACACACAGACCGTTTTGCGATTGACTTAAGGCGGTTGTTTAGACTCTCAAAACATGTATTTCCGTTAAAAATCAGATTTGAAGATGTTCAAGGTCGCAATACTTCCCCTTATATTTCCCTTAGATAAGTGAAAGTAAAAATAAGATTGGCCTAATGTTTTGGAGAAAAGCTGTTAAAGGACGGATATACTTTTATTTTTCTTTATATAAAAGATATAGTAAGGAAAAACTTTTTTTTAAAATTCAATATGAAGATTTTAAGTATCATAAAACAAAAACATCAAATTTAAAGAGGATGGGATCAAGCAATTTCTTTATCCCGGTAGATTTTATTGATAATAATAGAACTAAATAAAGGGAGGTTCGATTGTTACATGATATTTATTTTCAGATATATGTAATGAAAATCAGATTCTTTTTATAATAATGGTTTCCCATCTCGGATAAAATACCGTCTTATTTTATAATTATTATTTTATAACTCTTGAATCAGGACTGTAGAAATCGAGAGGTGTGTGGTCAGCAGATTGCTAGGTGGTCAGTCATAACCAGATTTTACCTAATAACAGTCAAACACTCACTTAAATATCTCTTTAATATGATGTATGTCTTGTAAGTAGAGGGAAATATTTAAAAGGTTAATAGTAGACATCAAGATCTACATAAAAGTTTATATAAACAATTTCCAAAAAAGAAGGAAATTTAAGATTTTTTTTTTTTAAGGGAGTCACGTTTTTTGTTGAATAGGAAGCGATAACTTCAAAAATATTTGATTTAAGTAATTAAACATTGCTCCTTAGTAAAAAAGACAAAGTTTACTTTAATTGAAAGTAGAGTTCATCATTTCTATAATTGTTAAAAGGGAACTATTGAGTGGACAACCCAGCTAAGTTCCGTTTAGGAAAAAGTCATAAATTATTTGTGATTTTTTTTTTTCTGTATTACAGTTACCCCACTTTTACAAAAACTTTCACGTTTAATAAGCTTTAAGTCTCTATTCATTAATTTTGGGTTTATTGGGAATAATTTTGAGATTAACCTCAAGTTGTGTAAAAAAATGATCTGATTTTCTATCCAGATCTTTTTTGAGTAGCAAAGAATTTAATTATAACTTTAGTTGATGTCAAACGATTAACTGAAGTATCGGTTGTATTCCCAATAGTGATTCAATTTGAGTAAAATACCTGGTATTCGGTACTGAGAGTAGCATTTGCCCATCTCTGGTTTTAGGTGACTGGATAGAAAATCACATCATTTATTTACACAACTGGAGGTTAATCTCAAAATTATTCCCAATAAGCCTCAACTTAATTAATATAGACTTAAAGGTGGAAGTTTTTCTTAAAGTGGGGTAACTCTAGTACAGTTGAAGAGTGATAAAAAAAAAATCACAAATAATATATTAGTTTTATTTTTAAACGGAACTCAGCTGTGTTTTTCCGCTCAATTGTCCTCTTTAAACAGTTTTGATAGTAATAAACTCTACTTTCTATAACAGTAAATTTTGTCTAGTTTACTAAGGAGCAATGTTTAATTACTTAAATCAAATATTT